TTTTCTGCTGCTGTAGGCATTGCTAGATCCTTATATAGCCATGAGTTTCTCGCATATGTATGTATGCATGTGTATACAATGAGTTTCATACATACAAAAACCCCACGCCGCATATTGAAATTATATATAAATATGTGCATACATAAATATATATTGAAGATTGCGCCTTTGCTGCAATATGACAATTTGCTGGAGGCTCTCAGCATCCAATATTAATTAATATTTTTCTAGCAATATTTATATTTTATAAATCGCATTAAATGCAAATGCATATATTCTATTGTAAACATGCACTTAGCTAATTATTATTTTATGTGTGTATATGTATGTATATAAATATCATACAGTCGTTATGGCATGTAGTTATATATATAGATATATATGTAGGAATATGTAAAAATGTATTTATATAGAACATGAAAAACAAATAATATACAAATATACGCATATACGCAATATACATGTATGTGTCTGTGGGACCAGCAGTCGAGTAAAGCTGAGGCTGAGCCTACACACACTTACATACATACGTGTAATATCCTGCTCTGTTATCGTACAGAATTTTCAGGGTGTAGTTAAGATCATAAAAATTGAGATGAGCGCATTTGTGGAATTTAATTTGCGCATATACTTAATAGACACACACGAGTATTCTCTCTCACTCATTTCGGCAAGGAATAACGGATCAGTACAGTGTGGAATGCATCGTATGTGGAACCTTTTAGCTGAGTGACTATTTCGCTCTTTTGCATTATGCTAAATAACTATTTTGGCTACTGCATTATTTTGGCGAGCTTTGGATTTAGAACAGGAAATCATCATGAATTTGCAGTTCATTTTTGTGCGTGGCTGCATTAGAGTTAATTAAAATTAGTTTTGAACACTTGCATTTGTAGAAAAGTTTATAAGCTTGTATTTCATACATACATATATGTAACAAATTCATATGTATTTATAAAGGGAATTTTTTACATACATATTTTATAAATTTAGCAGCATTAAAATTAAGTACTTCAGGTTATCCAACTTTTGAGCTAAAACTTGGACAAACATTGGCTTAAAGCGTTGCCAATTGAATGCGGCTTTAATGTTCCCAACTTTCTGTATAATGATAGTTGTACGGAGAAGAGCACACACACAAACATGCGCGCTCACTCACATTCATGCACAGCTTGAGCTTCTGCCAGTGCACTGGCGTTAAGTGAAGTTTGTCAGGAACGGGAAATCTAATAACAGCAAACACAAACACAATAACAGTTAGTTGTTGTCACGTTGTTATTACGTGGTGGTGTGTGTATGTGTGTATGTGGAGCCGAGTTTTAATTTGTGTTTGGCACTGCATATTAAATAGACACATCAACGCCCCCAGTCCACACACATACACATACGCGCCCCTATGGACGCAATGTCTGATTGAATCGATGGGGCGGCGCGTGAGGTGGTTTATGTGTATCGCTTCCTAACTGAATCGAATTTTGGCAAACTGAGCTGCTCACACTCACACACTATCCCTCTCTCTCTCTCGCTCTCGCTCTCAGTTATGTGTGTTGAGTCACTGATTACGTATACGCCGCCTGGCCGCCTCATAAAAAAGGCATTAAATGGCGATAGCTGTCGTTGTGGCCAAACTCTGGTCAACCTGTCTAAACATTTCGGCCTCCTTTTGGCCTAGCGCAAATTGATGTGACATATTTGATATTAATTGACATCATGGGTCCTGGGATTTCAATGACCCTATGCCCACAATTCAATGAAAACTTTCCTTGAGCTCAATAAATAACAAGTAATTGAAATTGAAATTGCAAACATTTAGTATTTATTATTGTAGTTGAAAAGTGACTTCATTGATATTCGTATTCATACCTGCATATTCAAATTTATATTTATCTTTACAGTCGAGTCCCAATTAACTTCCGTTATTAACAGAAGTAGTTCTGAGTATTTCAAAGCTTCTCTCGAAAGCCTTAACTAATTAAAATATCTTTTTTAGACAGGTTTAGCCACTGAGCTGATTTGTTTAGTTATTTACTGCACCGTGCTCTGTAAATTCTATCTCTGCTTTAATACACAAAATTGAATAGCAATACATAAACTAATTGCCCTAAGCACTGTATTACTGTGTTAAGTAGACAAATTAGACAAATATACGCACATTTTATAACAGTCAACGACAGTTACAGCTGTAGCCTTGAGGAAGTGTATTAATTAGTTGGGAATTATAAAATATTAATATGTAAATTGCAAAATTCATAATATTTTCAGGGATCGCAAGACGAACATCGGGAGCTGAGACCCCAAAATACAATTGATGCAAATTCATGGCCTCAAAATGTAAGTAAAGAATAAATGGTGACTAAGAATGCTTTATTATTCAGAATCAGACATTTAATTTTTAACTAATTTTTAGTAATCTCATTATTTGTATTTAATAATTCTTTATTTATTTCGTTATTCTTTATTTAATTATTCTTTAGTAGTCTCATTATTTATATGCCCATATACCTGCTACCACCATATTAAGTATCAATCTTGTTGTACGCTAAAAACAATTCTCCGCTTAAGATTGATATTTAATTGATTCTCCTTCCAATACGATTTCCACACAAAAACGTATTGTAAATAGAAGGTTATCGTCAAAGTGCTGAGTTTTAGGATAGCAAAGCTTTTACTTTTCTATTAAATTGCAATCGTAAATTATAGCTATTGCTCGATAGCACACATACACTTACACTGTAACACACACATATGCCTATAATTTTCTGTGCTACTTACAGCTTTAGCTCAAATCCCCAGAAATTAAACCGCAAACACTAGACACAGCGCCACAAAAGCCACACGCCACATTCCCGTATCTCTCTCTCCCTCTCTCTCTCTCTCTCTCTCTTTCTTTCTCTCGTACACACTCATCTCGCCTTCTCTACGTACACTTGCACACATACACACATTTTTGTGGTATTTATCAATTTGGTTCTGCCAAACATTTTTTAATGCCTAAAATCCACTTGCTGGCACACGCTGCGTATACGCAATTTAATGACATTTCTTTGCTTAAGCTGTTCAATACAATAATTGATTCTTTATGATTTTAGAAAAATATTCAACTGCAAAAAATTATTTGATATGATGACCAGGTTGCTATATTTATAAATATCAAATTCAATTTTTTAGACTCTTGAGCTGAATTTTCTTAAATATCGCTAAATTATATATGTACATATAAATTAATAGTAATTTTAATAAATATTGTATATATGCATTTAATAAAAATACAACATTCAATTATATTATCAACATAAATAATTATTCTGTATACTATTGTGGGCAGAAGTAAAGTGAATTTTCAATTATTTTCACTATAAATATATGACTTAATGTTTTGGATTATCTATCATGCATTTGTATACAAAAGTATTTATAATGATACTATTTCCAATGATTATTATGTCTTAGCAACTGCTTAAATTATTGATAGCTTGCAGCTCTTAATAATTAATAATACATATAAGAAAATAAATAAATACTAGTTAATTAATCCAAAAAATAAATTTATTCTTATAGTCAATACTCGACATGGCTGCAGCATACAACATTACATTTACTTTCCTTATATTTCAATATGTTTTCAACTCAAATAAATTGATATATCGCATGGACATACAACTATGCATATACATGTATATATATATTTATAAATATGCATATGTGTATATAACAAAAAAAATCTCTAGCTAGCCGGCTGTGCACTGATGTGCGCTTATTATTTATGCAAAAGTTATCCATTTATGTTGCTCAAATATTTACAAACGACTTTGGCACGCATCGCGCACAGTTTGACAGCGACTTTTAAATTGTGGCTGAACATACGTTTTTGACGGCTTCACTTGCTAAGCTCGTAAATGCGCGGCGCATTGGTTTTCAATTTGAACATGTGTCCCGGGTCCAATGAGTGAGCTATGCACGCACATACATGCATGCATACATACATACATATATGCGTATGGGTGTGTTCATGTTCCTGTAAGCCATTGATACTTTAATGTATGCACCAGAGGATAACGGTTTATATCAGCTCTCCGCTGGATTTTGTAGACACGCGTGTGTGTGTGCCGGCTCTCAAAGCCCATTTATTGAGGCTTGGGCTTTTGGTTTTTTTGATAGACCTCAATATATGTATATATGTGGAATTATGTATGTAAGTATATATAAATGTATGCATAAATATATATGTGTATTTATGTATGAATATATGTATATAAATGTGCATATTTTTGGTTATTTTCTTCTTTATTTTTAAATTTATTATTAAATACCTTTTATATAATACATATTATATTCTAGATTAATTTCGAAAAGGCGAAAAGTTTTAGTTTAAATGCCCTTAATATGAAACAAGTACTTATTAATCTAATGCTATACAATTTGTCTAAAATCAATATTAAAAAATTAATTTGCCATCAATGTTAGAGGTAATTAAATTCCACCCCAACAATTCACAACGGACTTAGACTCATAAATTGCATTACCAACCCAATCTCCATCTATTGACAATGTAATTAATGGGCTCGATGTCAAAGTGCTTGAGTAAACACAGATGTAAGCACTATATATCTGTTAGCCGACAGGTGTAAGGACAAACACACATTGTTTATAGCGAAACCCAATACCTTAGAATAATCTGTAAGTATTTCGATTGGGTGGGGCGAATCAGACAAAATATTTGTATAATTACCTTTAATCAAATTACACATTGGCTAATGGCGTCTTCAAGCTATTTATGTTGTGGATTTATATAGATGGGGTACAAATATTTACAGTATAAATATAAGAATAATAAAAGGTAAAAGATCTAAAAATGAACTTAGCTTGTGATGTCAGCAGTCGTTGACCTGATAAAGAATATATGACTTAAGGGGCTTTCCCAAATGGATTTTACTCAGAATATATAAACAAACATTTAAAAAGTTTTTTCTTATATATAATTAATGGATTACATATATTAATTACGATTTTGGCTGATATGATGTATAACTGTTATACAGGTTCTCATTTATACTCTTACTGGACATAAAGACGTATCCCAATTGATGAAGTGGATATTTTGGTATTAAGAACTCCATGCGTTGATTGCGCATCAAGGCACATTCCAGATAGGACCTATACGTGTTGAAAGCTATTTTGTGGCACTCCTCAGATCTTCCGTTTTTGAAGAGGTTATATCTGAAAGCAAACCACATGCTATACGCCTCGGGTCCGGTCCATTGAGCGGAATTGGAGCTGCAGCCCGAATATATTTTCGTTTTCAGCCAATCCATTACTACGGGCTTGTTATATATGGTGGAACGGCCAATGCATACAGAATCCAAATGTTTACTAAGAACGAAACGAAATACTATAATAAGATTCGGGTTTCAGTCCGTAACATAAGTAACTAAACTGCGATCAATGCAAAAATTCGCCAAGAATTAAATGTCTGGCTCGCTCTAACACATACAAGAAAAGCTTTATAGTCCAGTCAACACATATTCATAGCTCGCCCACTCCCTCTCATCCTCATTATATACGGGTCTCTCATGCTGCTGTTCACACTAGAGAATCGAGTGACTTACATTTCGTGCATTTTAATTATATGTGTGTGTGTATAGATGTGTGTAGATACTTAGCTCTAATATGTATTAGTAAAGCTCTCCATATTTCATATACAAAAGCGCTCTAATTCACGTCTATACGATGCAGACTGTGGAACCTGGGTACAACTACTGACGGAGGGAGCAAGCAATACATATGCTCCTTCTTCTTTTACGATGTAACCTGTGGAGCCTGTGTATTACTCAGAATTGCACATGTATGCTCGTGCTCAGTTTCTTTTCTAATGTTGCAGCTCCATCGATTCTAATAGAAACAGTGAGCATAAGGTAATCTAATAAGCTCCAACATTGGAAAAGCGCTCAATTCACTGTACACAAATCCACTCAATCTGTTACGATCCAAAGTTGTGGAATCCGTGTCAAATTACTCAAGCGTCAATTATACTCAGCAAGCCAATGCACATGTATGTGTAAGCGACTAGCTTTCTTATTAGCGATCCTACTAATACATATATGTACATGAATGAGAATGCTTGCGCTATGCACAAAGGCGCTCAGCTCCATTCTCTTACGATCCAATAAGTGGACCTTGTGTAACAGAACTGAGTACGCTCAGAGCAAGAGAAATACAAATGTGTGCGTGATTAAGAAATAATTACCCAGGATAATAGTTCATTGTCGCGCCACCCCGTTCATTGATTTTTAATATCATCTGCTTAAGATCCTTATTATGGTTCACGGCTAACAGATTCGGAAACTTTTCGAACATTTCTCCAGATGTATCAAAGTTGGCTTTTGGTTGTTTGTTTATATATTTGATTGTTGTGCCAGACTCTCTATTATCCTTACTTGTGGGTCGTAAGGATTCGATCATTTTAGATCGATTATGTTGTGGAACATTCGTATTTTTTCGATTCTTGAGGGCGTGATGTAAAATGAACATATTATCTATTCTATCTCTTGGTTTTGAAAGAGTTTTGTGATTTTTGTTATTTTTGATTATTTTCTTAAGTTTTCTTGGAAAAATGCTGGCGATTTTTGCTGACTCTGCTATATCCATATCATCCAGTGGAAGCAAACTTTCAATTTGATTTACTTTGCCAGCATTTTGAACGTCTTCCATTGATATTTGTTGACTATTTGTGGTGTCCGCTGGCTTTGGGCCTTCTATTGGAAGTGAAAGTTCACTTTTATGAGACTCTGCTACTTCTAGGTCTTCCTTTGGAAGTAATACTTCGATTTGGTAAGACTTTTCATCATGTGGATTGTTTTTATATTCCAGCGGCTTTTCGGTTTCCATTGGAAATCTTTCATTTTTATAAGACTTTACTATTTCCATATCGTCCATTGGAAGTAAACTTTTGATTTGATTAACCTTGCCAGCATTTTGTTGCCCTTCCATTGATACTTCATGACTATTCATGTTATCCACTGGTTTTTTGCCATCCGTTGGAAGAAATCTTTCATTTTTATAAGACCTTACTATTTCCATATCTTCATCTGGAAGTAATCTTTCCTTGTGATAAACCTTGTCATCATATGTTACGCCTTCCATTGGCAACGAATGTTGCTTGTTGCCATTTTCCACGTCTTTGAGACTTTTCATTAAAAGTAAGCTGTAATTACCTGAACTCTTAACTAATTCCATGCCTTCCATTGGAAGTAAGCTTCGATTCAAAGAAGATTCAGCTTCTGAGTAAGGTAAGCTTTGAGCACTTCCAGGATCATTTTGATTGTCAGTCGGGCTTCCAGGTGTTTGCGTTGGAAAAGCACTTACATCGCCCACACACAAAAACTAATAAAATATAATAGGAAAATTTTGAGAGATTCAAATGATTAAGAGTGGAACTTACGTTCACAATATAGCCAATGGCTAACAATAATATACAATTTGTGTTAAGCATTTCAAAAAATAAACATACTAATATATATATATATTTGTATACGCCGACTAGGAATTTGTGTGCTATGAAGTCAATTACTGGAACTGACTTCTAAGGAGCAGATAATTGATGTAGAAATCAAATTGGCCAAAACTTGAATCTTAAAGTGAATGGAAAAGCTTTAGCAATGTTGACTCTGGCAGCTGACAGCACTAATTCATTAAGATTGGTTGGTCTGAAAAGCGAATATGTGTTTACCATTCATTGCTCTATATGTGAGTAGTCGAACATAGTTTTACAGTTTCAATGGCGAGCAGCAGAACGAGCTACTGAAGGGATTGACCCGACGGACTTTATGTGAAATCTAATCAATCAGTATTGAGTTTCAGTTTGTTTGTCGACGAGTCCGAACAAAAACAAGCAAACATGCTGCAGTTGGGCGTCAGCGATGGCATAATACTCGTTCAGAGTGGATGAAGAGTGAAATTATTTATGGTAGATTTTAAGAGAGAGACGGCTTAGCGGTCAAAACTTTGGAGCTGTGAGTCTCAGAGTTTTGAGTTTAATGATATATTAATATAT